GACAATTTTATCCTCACCAACACAACAGTTCTGTGTGTCTTACAATATTTTAAGTTTTTCTATGTTGTTAACACTGTGCATAGCTGTTTAGATTTGAGGCATGTTCAGCTTATATTTGATTGCTATGGCTTCCTGAATATGAGTGTAATTTCGGTGGAATTCACCAGACCATGTTCACTAGACATTACTGAGATTGTTCATTCATTTCTAAGTTAAACATTTGCAATACTTCCTTTAATGTGGACATATTTAGTGTGATAATGTCCTCTAATACTGGGAAGCATATGGGGTCTATTTATGCATACCGCGTCAATACAAAAACCAACTGTGGTCTACAGATACTTTAATTTGCATGAGAATTTTACTTAGTTTTAATAGAATCAATGTATTCAGATTGTAGACTAATATATAAAATTATCTTGCATAACTTCATGCTACACTGTACTAAGATGAACAGCTTTGCATCAGAAGTCAGTAAATGTTCTTCAGCTGAATCCTCTCAAATGTCAGATTGTTAATTTCAGTTTCCTATGTAAAAGAACGTCGAATGAAGCCGTTAATTCCTATGGCGGTTGCAAAACCGATGATAGTAATATAGAAGTCTGAAGTTAAGTATCTTGGATTAATTCTTTCTTCTGGCTAATCCTGGTCTTCCCGTATCTTAGCGATTTCTAAAAGAATGTTTCGTCTGACCTTTCACATTAAGAAGTTAAGGCACTCAGACATAACTCAACCCCTCCTCTTACACTTTGTCAACTCGTGCATCCTACCTGTTCTTCTTTACTGTTCACCCTTATTCTTTCCTGGATTGCTTAAAAAAAGACTACGTCACACTTCGTAGAACTCTGAAGACTGTTAGCAGAACGAGTGGTATCTCTATGGGCCATATCTTTAAATCGTCATTGACGATGGGTACTTGATTTTGGCAAACTGTGAGCACCTACTTTACCTGCAGCTCTCACCTTGTGTCTCCACAGGTAAAACCAGAAGTCATTTCAAAAGACTGTATGCGTGCACGTCTTAGTATAAAACATACACGATACCACATTTTGCACGCATTTTATGCGATGAAAATAATGTTAGGGACGAACTAACTAACCATCTTTGCACTAGTCACTAAACCATTATCCCAATCCTCATCCCATAAAGCTTCACTTTTATTATTCTTATATTGATAACCCTCTCTCGAATATTTCTGACTTAACACCGTAACTGTTGACAATATTTTGTGGTTAGTTTATATCTTGAGTAAACCAGACGCAATATGGTCACAAGTGCTGAGAATTCCTATCAGTAAGAAGTTTGAGCATTGTGGATTAGATCAAATAAAGTATAATTCTATTTCAATAGTTTACACACAATGATAAGTTTTGTTATTGGTAATATTTCGAGCAAAATTACCAATAACAAAACTTATCATTCAAATGAACTGTCGTCAAGATTTGACTGAATCGTTCTAAAATATTTGGGCGCCGAGTGAGAAGTAGACATTTGTAAAAAATTATATTTGTAAAATCTCAGCGATATTGAAATAAGTAATTCCAACGTTTCGTTCGGCAATCTGGTCCGAACTTCTTCAGGGAAATTAATCAAAATTAACATAACAGAGGTTTTATATATAAAAGGCACATCTTTTTAAAAACTTTGTCCAGTCATGATTCATAAACACAAGTATTAACAAGTATAATAAACAAAATTGTATGAGCTGTGATCAAAATTTGACCTCGGACTTACAAATATTGGTCTACCTTTGTTAAATATTTTAAACAGAGTGTGCATGCGTGTGTGTGTAAACAGTTGTAAAACATTTCTTAACGTCTCCATAGGAAGATATAGACAGTCAGGGATTTGACCAAGTATTATTAATTAGTGATACATATCCATTTTTATTTATGAATCAGGATTTCCTATGCATCAGCTAACATCAAACCTTCATGTCCGTTCAAACTACTAGTATCTAGAATTTTATGATTAGACGTATTTTCAAAATTATGGTGCTTAGGATTAGAGTTTAGTTTAAGCACCCTGTCGAACTTATTGCATTGTCTTCTTTCTGAATATTGAGCTGCAATAAGTTCGACAGGGTGCTTAAACTAAACTCTAATCCTAAACACCATAATTTTGAAAATACGTCTAATCATAAAATTCTAGATACTAGTAGTTTGAACGGACATGAAGGTTTGATGTTAGCTGATGCATAGGAAATCCTGATTCATAAATAAAAATGGATATGTATCACTAATTAATAATACTTGGTCAAATCCCTGACTGTCTATATCTTCCTATGGAGACGTTAAGAAATGTTTTACAACTGTTTACACACACACGCATGCACACTCTGTTTAAAATATTTAACAAAGGTAGACCAATATTTGTAAGTCCGAGGTCAAATTTTGATCACAGCTCATACAATTTTGTTTATTATACTTGTTAATACTTGTGTTTATGAATCATGACTGGACAAAGTTTTTAAAAAGATGTGCCTTTTATATATAAAACCTCTGTTATGTTAATTTTGATTAATTTCCCTGAAGAAGTTCGGACCAGATTGCCGAACGAAACGTTGGAATTACTTATTTCAATATCGCTGAGATTTTACAAATATAATTTTTTACAAATGTCTACTTCTCACTCGGCGCCCAAATATTTTAGAACGATTCAGTCAAATCTTGACGACAGTTCATTTGAATGATAAGTTTTGTTATTGGTAATTTCGCTCGAAATATTACCAATAACAAAACTTATCATTGTGTGTAAACTATTGAAATATAATTATACTTTAGCTGAGAATTCCATTCTGTATTATAAGTACTGCTTTTTGAATTTAAGTTGATTAATATTATTATACTTTAATGATGACACATCCTGCTTGACCTGTTCTTCTTGCTTTAATCATGATAGTAGCGCGCTTCATAGAACTCACCACACAGCGTATCAGCCCTAAATGTATACCACATGCGGCATAATGCTTATGAGTTAGGTATGCAAATCAAAGTAATAATATAATAATAATCACTTTATTCCACCACAATAACAATTTACAGCATGGAATTTTCAGCGTTTCATTTTACATTTTGCATTGGTTTAGCTCTGTTTATAATTATATAAATGTATGAAATGTTAAAAATATTGATAATTAATAGGAAAAAACAATCCTCAACAAAATCACACCATTTCTAGGTCATAGTGAGATAATAAATAAATAATATAACAAATCACACATGCAATAATATGTATCATTACATTTTATAGTTTAGTTAATGATTTAAAAGTTGTAAAAGTTCTTTTCTGATATTCGTCTCTTCACACAATACTCGTGCCAAATATGGTACGGTCGAATTTTTATATTTTGTAGTACGAGCATAAATGTTTATGAAATTTCTTCTGGTCTTACCCAAAGAGATACAAGGAAACAATTGTGAATAAAGAGGATGTTCACTATCAGACAAGATAACTTTAGCTAAGTGTTTACAAGAATTCATGTGCCTATTGACAACAGTGTCGGTTAGTTGAGTCAAAGGGATAGCACTGACCCTACTTACAGCCCTCAATGTTTTTCGTAGCATTATATGGTCTTTCTTGAGTAGCCCAGGGAAGAATAATGGAGAACAATAAAGAATGATGGGCAAAACACATGAATTAATAAATTGTATGAGAAGAGATTGGGTTATACCTGAGTGCCTCAACTTCTTTATGTAATAAGTCAGACAGAAAATCTTTTTAGAAACTATAAGAATATGAGACGACCAGCAAAGGTTTGAAGAGAAACTAATGCCAAGATAAGAAACACTTGACTTACTCTCTATCATGTTACCATCAATATTACAACAATCATGAGATTGGATCAATCCATGCATGTCTTTTTCACTTCTCAAGCTGAAATCAACAGTATTACATTTAGTTGGATTTAGTTTAAGACCATTTGAGCCGGACCAATCCTTAACTTCAGCTAAGAAGCCATTCATATGGGAACAATCCGATGTGGAAACTACAGGGACAGAAACGGTCAGATCATCAGCATACTTAATGAAGTTAACTTTGGGTGAGTTCGGAAGGTCATGCAAAAAGAAAGAAAAGAAATGGAGAAAGTACTGCACCTTGAGGCACACCACTTTCAGTTAGCTGAGAAGTGGAGGGCTTTCCAGCCAAAACAGTATGCTGTTTCCTATCCTTAAAATAAGAAGACAGCCATCTAGCTGCTCAGGTCTTTGTCTGTGCTGAAATCATCTTTCCTAATAAAAGTGTCCTAGGAACAGAGTCGGTGGCACCACTGTGCGTCGGTGGCACAGTGGTTAGGACTCTCGCCGACCATGCACATTGTCCGAGGTTCGAGCCCCTGCCGGCGCACACCCGATATCTATGGTCGGCCTGTGAAATTTGGGCTACCGATATCCATGCTGAAAATGCCATACTTGTACTGAAAATACGGTGTGGCATCAAGCTGTAACCAAAATAAAAAAAAATAAATAAAAAATAAGAAAGCTGCAGTATAGTCTAAAAAAGCTGTTCGAACGAACTTAGCACCCTTATCAAGGCAGGAAACAATATTGTGGTGTAGTACAACGTCTACATCTAATGTACTTCTTCCACACTTATAAGCAAACTGCTTAGGGTCACTAAAAGCTTTTAAAGAAGGTTTAAGAATGTTCAAAAGAAGTTTCTCCATAGTTTTCAAAAAAGGAGATGTTATAGCGACCGGTCTAAACTTTATGCCTGCTCCAGAAGATGATTTCTGTACAGGTACAACCTTGATTTCTTTCCAGTCAGCAGGTACCGTTTCCTTGTTGAATGATGCATTAAAGATTTGAGTGAGAGGATGACACAAGATGTCTGCACACTTTTGAAGAAGAATGCCTGGTACACCATCTGGACCAAGGCTGTGTGTTTGATTTAAAGATTTCAAACATAATAGTACATCCTCTTCTTTAAAACCCGGAAAATGACCATTATCTTGACTAGGTACATCAGGTACAACCATATTAATTTGTTTCATGATAAATGATTTGTTTAAAGCATTAACATCAGAATAAGCATCAACAGACAATTGTTTTTTACTTGTAAGTTTATTGAAAAGTTTCCAAATGTTTGAAGGATTTTTACATGATAAAAATTTTTCATTATATAGTCTGTTCAACCTTTCTATTTCAATATTTATAAGGGTGTTTATTTTACGGAGACCAGTATTATCACAATTCTTATACAACTTCTCTTTTAGTCTTCTAAGTTTTTTCAGCTGCAAAGAAGAGATTCTGTCAAATCTCGAAAACAGTGTTTCATATGGACAGCAAATATCCAAACAAAACTTCAGATAATCGGTTATATCAGGGACAGTAGCATCCAACTTATCGTCAGTAAATAGTTTCCAGTTAGTATCATACAACATGCTTCTTAGTGCTAGAATATTGTCATGGGAATATGAACGTTCATGTATCTTCTTTGTTAAATGACTAAACAATTTTTTGTTGTAACTTGCCGTACACTTTCGGTAAAATACGAATAATGCAGTGGTCAGAGTTTAACAAAGGAGCTCTCCTTCGGGTTTCATATACATCACGTTCATTTATGAAAACCAGGTCTAGTGATTTGTCCAGACGTGTATTAAACTTGACTAGATTCTCATGACCAAGTGAAGTAAGAAAGCTGTGATCACATGAATTAAAATCACCACAGACTATAGACAACGAGTTTCCGAATGCAGGAGCAGCAAATTCAGTAAATTCATCTGCAAACGTAACTATATTTGAAAGGCTACAATTAGATGTTATGTAATTATTTGTTATGTATATATAAGAATATTTACTTAAGTGTTTTGGGCGACACCTGACGGTTATGCAGTCTATATTGTCATTAGAATAATTGAAGCAAACGTGATTTGATGTAGACCTACTTGTGTTTATAAAAGTGGCTACCCCTCCTCCACATTTTTTTCTTAGAACTTTTTCTATCTTGGCGAAAAACTTTGTATCCATTTATTGAAACTAGATTATCATCATAATGCTGGTGCAGCCAGGTCTCTTGTATTGCTAAAACGCCAGCATTTCGATAAACATTAGAATACATTAGGGATTGAAGATAATCCATTTTGTTGGACAGGGATCTACAATTAGTGCTAACGAGTTCAGGAACAGTCATTTGATTAATTTGTGTACGTTTCAGTGCACGCTGCCATCCACAGTGATGCTTTTTTCTCAATATTTGTGGATGACACAACGCAGTAGGTTGTAATGATTTTAAAAATGCGCGATTATAAATAATACGATTAGGACACATTATTGATAAATTAAAACAAAATTAAAAGAGCAAACCAAAGCAATTTTGCAAAATTTTGTAAGGCGGAATTTTTGGTAGCCCTATGTTCAAGCAGGCCGCCAGGTGCAGCTTTCGTAAATTCATTATTTACAAGACTGACTAGGATGTAGGAACTACTACTTGACCGGTTATACAACGTTTAACATGCTTAGACACAATCAACGTACGCTGCCTCAAAATGATTTCCGCTGAAGATAATCTCCTATAGCTACTACCCTAGTGAACAACTTCTGCCTGGATTCAACATAGAACTTGGCACCGAAGTGCTGCAGTTCGGGTTGCCACGTTCCAAATAGCACACAAAGGTAGACAAGAAAATGAGTGAAGAGAAACAATAGAGTTTTGACAAGTATAAGAGTGAAACAGAATGAGTAATGGTGGAAAGGAATATGAAAGATTACAGAGACTGAATATATCTGCGCCATTGACATTGACAGTGATTTTGAGCCATGTCACCTATTGTCTCCAGCCATTGATTCTTAGAGTCCGGAGGGCCCCAACTCGGAAGTCTGCATCTCCCTACCTGACTCAGTTTAAGTGTCAGGGATTTCATGGATTGGTGCCATGTTTTGTTTGGCTACCACTTACTCTTTTCCAACCTGCACCTATATCAGCTAGTAATGCCCGTCGGGGGAGACGATGGTTAGGCATGCGCAGCACGTGACCTAGCCATCTCAGTCTATGTAACTTTATAGCCTCGCCGATTCATTTTCCCTTTTTGCCCAACACTCTACGCCTAACGTCAACATTACTTACCTTATTATGCCACCTAACGTGAAAAAGAGATCGTAAACACCTATGATCAAAAACAGTCAACCTTTGATGTCTTCAACTCTTATTGGCCATGTTTCAGAGCCATAGAGAAGGACGGAGCGAACTGCTGAGCAGTACACACGTCCCTTGGTTGATAGCCGGATGTCACGCCTACGCCAGAGACGATGTAAGTTAGCGAAAGCAGCCCGAGCTTTTTGGATCCGTGCTGAGATTTCGTCACCAATCAATTCGTTGGTGCTCGTACAACTTCCCAAATAGGTGAAGTGGTCAACATGTTCTATCACTTCACTCCCTATCACTAAGCTAGGAGTTGACGTAGACCAGTCCTGTAGCAGCATCTTACATTTTACAGGGGCGAATCGCATGCCAAACATACGAAGATTGCTGCTCAATGTGTTCAGAAGACTCTGCATTTTGTCAGCATCCTCCCCTAACAGGACTATGTCATCTGCATATTCTAAGTCCATAAGATTATTCCCTGGTAACAAGTCGATTCCTAAGTCGTTAAGTTCAGTTAAGGATACTTCCATTAGCATATCTATGATGAAGTTAAACAGAAAAGGGGAAAGTGGACATCCTTGACGGACACCACTGGTTGTTATCAATTCAGATGACAATTCCCCACAAGCCCTTACACGGCTACGTGAGTTTGAGTAGAGTGCCTTGATTAGTGCAGTGGCACTCCCTTCACAGTCAAACATTGCAATAGTACCTCTCGATCCACGGAGTCGAAGGCCGCCTTCAAGTCAAGAAATATGGCAATTGTTGGACGCCTAAAAGTGTATCTATATTGTAGGATCTGTCGGAGAGTGAAGATATGATCTATGCACCCTCTATGTGAACAACTTAACGTTATCTTTGAATAACAAAGTAAAAGTGGAAGTTGCTTCGTAAAAAGATCGTCTCCTAGTCAAAAATAAATGTACCTTAGTCTTCATGAAAACGTTTACAGGTATTCATAATGTCACCTCAAATGATACATCAAATGACTCACTATTTGCAGTCACTTAAAAAGTAAGAATAAATTTACCGAATACAGTGTGCTTATGATTTCTAGATATCATAATACACCATAAGGAAAAAGCTGTAAACTTGTAGTTACAACAGTTAGACGCCCAATATTAATCCGAAAGACAACGAGTACGATTCCCAATCACAGAACATTATACTCTTCAACCCAATCGTCTAACCGTATCAACAGATGTTTCGCCAAGAAAAAGAAGACCAGTGGTTCAAGGAAAATTTATTTAGGGTTTTCTTAAAAATCATGGGCATTTGTATTTATTTTTTTATTCCTTCACGTTCCCAGTGGAACATAGGGCTTCAAGCTAGAGGCTTGAAGTTTCTTTAGCAGTGTTTGTTTTCACAGGATGAGGTTGCTAGCCTCATGCCCCACCTTTCCCCTTTACCAACTTTTTTATTTCTGGCTTAGCGAGGTAAAGGAGTGCGTCGGCCGGGGATCGAACCCCGAACCATGTACGTGGTCGGCGGTCAGGATGGCCGAGCGGTCCAAGGCGCTGCGTTCAGGTCGCAGTACACTCTGTGGGCGTGGGTTCGAATCCCACTCCTGACACCACTTTGTACTCGCTTCGGCGGTACATATACTAAAATTGGAACGATACAGAGAAGATTAGAATTTGTATTTATAGCCACGGAGAAATTACAAACATCAAAAAAGTAGGAATTTCATTATTTGAACTGAAACAAGTATTCTGTATTCAGTCACCCCGAATAATAATCAGCTTCACGTCACTTCCAGAAAACCACCCAATTGTAGACGTCAACAAGAAACATTATTCATGCTCATTAAAGTATTACATTTAACCGGGATCGTTTGCACAATCACTAGATCATTGTCATATGATGATATTTCATTTATCGAACAGATTTACAGCATACTGAATAGCTGTTAAAACTGGCTTAAGTACAGACAGTTCTAGCTAATTGATATGCAAGAATGAATAAAGATCGCAGTCAATTCCTCCATATAACTTTGGTGTGCGGCATCGTAACTATCAGTATACTGTCTGCTATACCATTCTCACTGACACTGTCAACTTGAGGCTGCTATGATTTTGGTCATCACTTACATGTAGCAGTACGGATGCAGTGTCACGATTTAATGCCTAGGTTGCATACTATGTCATTGTTATCCTCACTAAAACAACAGGTCTGTGTGTCTCAGAATATTTGAAGTGTTTCTCTATGCTGTTAACACTGTGCATAGCTGTTTAGAGTTGAGACATGTCCAGCTTATATTTGATGGCTATAGTTTACTGAATATGAGAATATGATTTCCGTAGGACTCATAAAACGTTTCGTTCTTCTGATGGTTTTGATTTGATCAGAAGCATAAATAACACGAAACTGTTAGTGCAGGTCCGTGCGTAGAATTGTACAGTATTTGCATATATCTATAATCGTTTTCTAATTTACTCTAATTGCAAGTGATGCATCTTCATTTTAGAAATATTTAAAAATCTTGAATCACTCTGTTGAATGGATTTCCGACAAGTGATTGCTGCTAATTTTAAATACTTTGCAATCAAAGTTGACGAACCTCTTCAGAACTTCTAGAAAAGGCATTTCATTGACTGTCTCTGCTCCACTCATCCGTATGTATAGTTGTTCCCGGAAGCACTAAACGTTGGATAATGGGCAACAATACATTTGCACTGCGATTAGGAATCGCTTCTATATATCCTTTGTGTAGGGTGGTGTCATATATGCCCAACACCCATTGTTGATTTGAACTCATTCTCCCTCTATTATATTTCCTTTTTATTAACACAGTCTCATCCACGTGAACAGTAACACCAACTCCGCCGAGTACTTGGGTCAGTCTGTTCATTTTCCACGACACCACGTCTCTGCAGTATTGGTACCACTGTACTGCAGAGACTTCTGACATTTCTGTCTCATATGCGGTGGCTGTTACTGGTCTTCTTAGAACCCAGTTGTGACATCATCAGAATCTTCGTTAGAGGTAAGTGAGATTTCGCGAAAAATGTATCTAAGGAATCTATAAACTAAACAATAACGACATACCCTCTCGGACCGATTTTCTGCATCTGCACTCACTGCAACGGTAAACATAACCGTCGACGCACCTCGTGTATCTTTGGATGTGCATTACACCTCCGCGCTGGCAAGTTTTCGCCGTCAGCCTGTTCTCTAAACAGTAATCAAAAACGAAGTCTTGAGCGAATTCGCACCGCAAGCGATTTACTGTATCCATTCCGGGTCACCTGATTGGATGCTCAAGGTCTCACTTACCTCTAACGAAGATTCTGATGATGTCACAACTGGGTTCTAAGAAGACCAGTAACAGCCACCGCATATGAGACAGAAATGTCAGAAGTCTCTGCAGTACAGTGGTACCAATACTGCAGAGACGTGGTGTCGTGGAAAATGAACAGACTGACCCAAGTACTCGGCGGAGTTGGTGTTACTGTTCACGTGGATGAGACTGTGTTAATAAAAAGGAAATATAATAGAGGGAGAATGAGTTCAAATCAACAATGGGTGTTGGGCATATATGACACCACCCTACACAAAGGATATATAGAAGCGATTCCTAATCGCAGTGCAAATGTATTGTTGCCCATTATCCAACGTTTAGTGCTTCCGGGAACAACTATACATACGGATGAGTGGAGCAGAGACAGTCAATGAAATGCCTTTTCTAGAAGTTCTGAAGAGGTTCGTCAACTTTGATTGCAAAGTATTTAAAATTAGCAGCAATCACTTGTCGGAAATCCATTCAACAGAGTGATTCAAGATTTTTAAATATTTCTAAAATGAAGATGCATCACTTGCAATTAGAGTAAATTAGAAAACGATTATAGATATATGCAAATACTGTACAATTCTACGCACGGACCTGCACTAACAGTTTCGTGTTATTTATGCTTCTGATCAAATCAAAACCATCAGAAGAACGAAACGTTTTATGAGTCCTACGGAAATCATATTCTCATATTCAGTAAACTATAGCCATCAAATATAAGCTGGACATGTCTCAACTCTAAACAGCTATGCACAGTGTTAACAGCATAGAGAAACACTTCAAATTAATAAAGTTGAGAAATTTTTTATACAGTGAATCCACATAACGCATATCACACTGCACCAATCAGCGCAAGTATATATATTAAATCTACTCAGAGAACCTTTCAACTTACGATAATTCCT